CCGATGATTCCTGGTCAGGTCCCCCCTGGTAGGGGGACATGACCTGGGCTTGGTCCCCCCTGGTAGGGGGAGTATAAGAAGGGGCTTGTAAGAGGAAGCTGGTTGATGTTTCACTCTTTTTTCTTTTTCTTATGCCCTTTTTTGTTCAGAGAGAGTGGGAGGGAGAGAAAGAGAGAAAGAAACATCAATGTGAAAGGGACACATCGAGTGGCTGCCTCCTGCACAACCACAACCCAATCAGGGCCGGGGACAAACTGCAACCTAACTACGTGCCCTTAGCCACTAAGGCTTAGTGACAGCCGAACCCGGGTCTCTCTGGACCGAAGGCTGACACTCTAACTACTGAGCCAAACCAGCCAGGGCTGATGTTTCGCTCTTACATTGATGTTTCTATCTCTCTTTCCCTTCCTTTCTCTCTAAAAAAAATAAATAAATAAAAACATATTAAAAGATAAAATATTAAAAAACATTTTTTTTTCTTTATTGATTTTAGAGAGAGAGAAAGGCAGAGGGAGAGAGATGGAACATCCATGAGAGAGAACATCGATTGGCCGCCTCCTGCATGCCCCCACTGGGGATCTGGCCCACACCCTGGGCAGGTGTCCTAATTGGGAATTGAACCGGTGACCTCTTGGTGCATGGGTCAATGCTCAACCACTGAGCCACCAGCCAGGCTTAAAAATAAAAGACAGAGGGGTGAAATAAAATCAAACAAAACAACTCAGCTGGCGTGGCTCAGCGGATTGAGCATCCGTCCCATGAACTGAGACGTCCTGGTTCAATTCCTTGTCAGGGCATGTGCCCAGGTTGAGAGCTTGATTGCCAATGGGTGGCATGCAGGAGGCAGCAGATCAATGTTTCTTTCTTACGTCGATGTTTCTATCTCTCTCTCTCTCCCTTCCTCGCTAAAAAAATCAATACAAATTAAACAAAACAAGACAACCAAAAGAAATCAAATTTAAATTACCCAGAGGCGACCACTATCAATATTTTGGATCTGTACTTCTAGGTTTTGTTAGAAACATATATTGTTGGTGAGGGCATCAAGTTCCTTGCTTCTTCCAGTAAAAAGTAAGACTATTCCTACAAAATGATGGTAGTCATGATTTGGCAGTCAAGGCCACCAACATATTAAGAATCCCATTATAACACCTAAAACTAATAGAAAATAATATTGAATGTCAACTATAATTAAAAATAAAAAAATTTTTCTTACCTTTATTTTACAGATGTGGAAACAGAAGTATATGGAAGTTAAGTAATTTACTAATTTTTTTTCTTTATTGATTTTAGAGAGAGAGGAAGGGAGAAGGAGAGAGAGAGAGAGAGAGAGACAGAAACACTGATGAGAGAGAACATAAATTGGCTGCCTCCTGCATGCCCCCCTCTGAGGATCTGGCTGGGGATCTGACCCATAACCTGGGCATGTGCCCTGACCAGGAATTGAACCTACGACCTCCTGGTGCATGGGTCGACGCTCAACCACTGAGCCACACGGGCTGTACAAAAATACAATTTTAAAAAGAAAAAGAGAAACATATTCTTATAAAAACAGGATATGGCCAGCCCTCATTTATCGTGGTTAATTAGTTCCAGACTCTATCTCGATAAATGAATTTCTGCGAAGTAGGATTCTTTATTTATATACTGTATACTGTGTGTAAACTGCATTGGTAAAAAAACTTTAATATGCTGCAAACATTTTGCTACAGTTAAACATCTATATAGCAACATTGTTAATGGCCACCTGAGATTCTATACTATGTTTCGGAAATATCAAGAGCCTCTGTCCATTTTTTTTTTTGCAGTATTTATTCAACACCTGATGTGTGCCACAACTTTGCTTGGAATTCACACTGACTGCAGAATCAATCACTATTATCATAGTAACACTATTATAAATGATGTGTTGCTGAATATCCTTGGGATATTCAGTTTGGGACTCAATGCCTGTGTGAATCTGTAACTGTTAACTGAGGAAAAATCCTGTAAGTGGGATATCTAGATTCAAGAGGAGGTATACTTTAAGGTCAAATTACCCTCCAATTAGGTTTTACCAATTTATACTCACATCCACTTCCTGTGTTTAGCTTCCCAATAACATTCAGTACTTTCCCTGCTTCCTCCTTTCGTTCCTAAACCCTCTGTAGGCTGGTTTTCCCCCAACTACTCCGATGAAATTGCTAAAGCCGCACCATATCATTTAAACTGCCAATTTCAGCCTGGCCAGTGTGGCTCACTGGTTGAGCATCAACCCATACACCAAGAGGTCACCAGTTTGATTCCTGGTCAGGGCACATGCCCAGGTTGTGGGATGTTCTCTCTCATTGATGTTTCTTTCTTTCTTTTTTTTTTTTTATCCTCACCCGAGGACATTTTTTCATTTTTTGTTCAGACAGAATAGGAGGGAAAGAAAGGAAGAGAGAGAGAAAAACAAAACAAAACATCGAGGTGAAAGAGAAACATCAAGTGGCTGCCACCTGCACGACCAACCTGGGCCGGGGACAAACTGCAACCAAGGTATGTGCCCTTACCGGGAACCGAACCCGGGTCTCTCTGGACCACAGGCTGACGCTCTAACCGCTGAGCCAAATTGGCCAGGGATCACTGATGTTTCTGTCTCTCTCCCTTCCTCATTTTCTAAAATCAGTAAAGAAAAAAAATCCTGCCAATTTCAGTAGTTGACCTATTTTCTGGCCTTATCTTTATTGATCTGTTTGGCCATTTATTTATTTTTTAATTATTTATTTAATTTATTTTTTATTTTTTCATCCTCACCCGAGGACATTTTTGCATTTATCTTCAGATGGGGGGGGGGGGACATCGTTGTGAGTGAGACACATTAACTGGTTGCCACCCACAGGGCCCCAACTGGGGCGGGGACAAACTGCAATGGAGGTACATGCCCTTAGCAGGAACTGAACCCAGGACTCTCTGGTCCTCAGGCCGACTCTTTAACCGCTGGGCCAAACTGGCCAGGGCTGTTTGGCCATTTAATACCTTGAACCTTACTGACACCCTTCTCTTCCTGAAATACTTTCTTTCTTTGGTTGGCTAAAGCAGGTCCAGTCTTAAGCTTCATTTCCTAGCTAGGACCCCAAGGCCCAGGGAGACACTGAGCCTAAGAGAACACACAGCACTGTTAGACTTCAAATCCAGGCCGTCTGACATCCACAGCCGTGGGCTTCTTTTTCGGTGTGATTTTTGGAATTCTTGGTGCTATTTGCACATTTTTCTAGCATTAGGAGGGACTAACAAGAAGAATTTTGTCTGGTTCTTTCTTTGTATTAAGACAGGCTAGTAAGCCAAGACAAGCGGAATAGGGAAACTGAGACAGATAGTTAAAAAGTAGTTTGCAGCCATCGAGAAAATCCTATCTTCCCTAAACCAAGGACAGTTAAGAGTCAATGGTTTGCACTTCTCCCCAACCAGAGGGTAAATAGCTTAAATCACCCTACTCAGGGAGACAGCAGAAATCCACTTAGTGCCATTTGCCAACCACACCCAAGGACAGATGAGGTTAAGAGAATAAATCTCATTTTGATACATCAGCATAAAGCTGATGAATATTCTATTGAGATCCTCCCCTCAACGTATTTTTCTAGCCTTTAAAACCCCTCAAAACAAGGTCCCAGCCTGAGCCCTCCCTCTGGGGCGCAGGCCAACGCCTTCCTCTTCCCCTTCCCCTCCCTACCTTCCCCTCCCCACAGGCACACATCCCCTGAACTCTAAGAAATCACGTGGGCAGCTGCAGTTCCTCCTGGGCAAACCCCCTAAACCTGTCCCCAAGGCCCCCTTTTCTCTGACTTCTTAGCGAGCCAAAGCAGCCCAGCCTAGGCTCATTTTTCCACCTAGTCCCTTTCCTGTTATCCTAGGTCTTTCCTTGTTTCCCTGTCCCCAGTTTTAATAAACATGCTCTAAAATTCGCCTGGTCTCATGTTGTGACAATTTTCCTGCACAAGAACCCACACCCTACTATCCAGCCCTAGGCAGACCAGCCATGGGCCAGGTCCCCCTTCCAGTAGCAGTAGGAAGAAATTTCCGTAGCATTTCATTTTTTGGCACAGTTGCTTATCTGGTCCTCAAGGCCTTAGATGAAACAGGTTCTAATGAGGACACAGACATGGTGGTGCAAAGGGGCCCCTAAACGGCAGGTTTGCAACCCAGAGAGAAAAGCAGCCCATGGGGCCTGGCGGGAGGGGTCCCGCCAATAGGCTCAGAACAGGGATTGGGGGCCAAGCAGACCTCTGTGAGGGTCGGGCTACTGCCATGTGGGCTTTACTGGGTGACCTGGGACAGTCACTCTGACCATCAGCACTCTCCTGTGACACAACATTTCTTTCTTCTTAGCGTTGTTTTGAGGATTTAATAAGACCAGCACACAAAACACTAGGCTCTTTGCCTGACACACGGTACCTAGTCAAACTGGGTACTGAATTCTGATTTAAGAAGGCTTTTTCTGTAGACAGCCTCATTTGGGCCTTCCCACTAGTCAACCACCCTGGATTCGCAGATGGGTATTTTAAATTATTCTCTTGGGGCAGAGACTGAAGATCACAGGTAGAGCATTGACTTGGAGGTGGCCGCCAACTGGAGCGCGGTGCCCGGCCCCGCTGGGAGGACTTGGCTGGCGGGACTTGGCTGCCCCGCGGGCCTGGGCCTGCCGGCCGGGGAACGCTCCAGCCCGCCCGCGGCCGCCGCGCTCGCCTCTGCGCCTCGCCGCGCAGCGCCATCTTTGAGCCTGGCGGGGTGACTCACTTCCACCCTCCCCTCCCCACGGGAGTACCGCGCATGCCCCCGGCGTGCCACTTCTGCGGATGCTGTCTCTAAAACTGGTCATGTTTGTAGCATCGGCTGAAAAGAACACTCTATCTCCTCTTCCTGAGTCTTGAAGAAGGCCTTCTGACCAATTCAAACATGGCGCCGACAGCCTCACTTCCCCGTCTTCCGCTGTGGAGGCGCGGGGGCGAAGGTCACGTTGGAGTGCGCCGGGGCGAGAGGGCGGAGCCGTCTCTATGGCAACCCGCGCGCAGCGCAGGCAGCTCGGTCTGGCGGGAAGCGGGTGTGCTGTGGCGCTGGCGACAGGCGGGGCCGCGAGCGCCGAGGGGCCCTGGCGGCCCGGGCCGCTGCAGGACGAGACCCTGGGCGTGGCGTCCGTGCCTTCGCAGTGGAGGGGCGTCCAGGGCAACCGCGGGGAGACGGTGAGGGCGCGGGTCAGGCTCGGGGCGACGCGGGCGGCAGGGTGACGGGCCCGGCCAGGTTCTGGCGTCCACCCTGTCCATATTTATATTTTAAAATATTTTTTTCTTTATTAATTTTAGACGAGAGGAAGGGAGAGAGAGAGAAACATGGATGAGAGAGAACATCTACTGGCCGCCTCCTGCATGCCGCCCACTGGGGATCGGGCCCACAACCTGGGCAGGTGCCCTGACCGGGATGGAACCAGTGACCTCCCGGCGCAGGGCTCGGTGCATGGAGCGACGCTCAACCAGTGAGCCACACCGGCCGCGCTTATGTTTACATTTTAATACATAGTAACTAACTGCTGGGATACTCCCATCCCAGTTTCCTTCGTCTTTGTGCAACAACTTCAAGTTTTTCTTTTTATTATTTTTTTAAATAAACCCCTACAGACTCTGTGTTTGGAGGGATTGTGTGTGAACTGTAGTTTTCAGGCATTTCAAACTGTCTCTCGTTTTGCAGAATGACCAGATTGCATCCTAAGATCTAGATGAGCTGGTTCTTGTGGTTTAGTCAAAAGCACACAAAAAGAAGCGCTTTGGTGAGAGGAGGGGCAGGGCTCCCGGGTGCCAGGTCTTCTCTTGAGGGGTCTGAGGGCAGACGTCCCACACCTGCCCTGTGCCCAGTGATCCAGCGCTCGGGTTTCACCAGTGGGCTTACTCCAGGAGCTTACGGGGTGGGTGTTTGCAGAGGATAGAAAATAAACAAGGTGTGTGACAAGTAGATTATGCAGTGAGTTAGAAGCTGAATAGTGCCCAGGACAAGAAAAAGAAGGGTGAGGGATTAGAAGGATGGGTTGGGCAGAGGGAGGTGAGTTGCAGAATGGGCATGATTGAGGGTGACAGTTAAACAGAGACCTGGCCGGGCCAGTGTGGCTCAGCGGTTGAGCGTTGACTTATGCACCAAGAGGTCTCTTGTTAGATTCCTGGTCAGGGCACATGCCCAGGTTGTGGGCCTAGTCGCCAGTGAGGGGCATACAGGAGGCGGCCAATCGATGTTCTCTCTCATCGATGTTTCTATCTCCCTCTCCTTTCCTCTCTCTCTAAAATCAATAAAGAAAAAAAATAAATAAATAAACAGAGACCTGGAGTGAGAGTTAGCCAAGTGGATACCTGAGGTGGATGGGTCCAGGCAGAGCAAGGGCAGGTGCAAAGGCTGTGGGGTCAGAGCAAATCTGGTGTGTTTGAGGAGGCACGTGGTGCTGGAGAGGAATGAAGAGGGGAGAATGGCCCCAGGTGAGATCAGACGGGGTGATACACATTTCCCAGAAGAGAAAATTGAGACTTAGTTTGCCACACAGGGGTCCGTCCAATTTGCAGAGGTCAGGTCCTCACCAACACTTCTTGCCTTAGGCCAACAGTGTGCAGGTCTTGAGCCAGGATTTGATCTGGCTTCCAAGCACTCCCACTTCATGCTGGGTAGGAAACATTCTAGTTAAAAAGCAAAGGCAGTGGGTATTTTAGTTACGTATCCTTATCACAGGTAAATGTGTAATTCACTGGCCTTTATTATTTTTTAAACTTTTTTTCTTTTTATTGGTTTTAGAGAGAGAGGAAAGGAGAGGGAGAGAGAGAGAAACACCGATGAGAGAGAACATCAATTGGCCGCTTCTTGCATGCCCCTTCTTGGGGATTAGGCTCACAACCTGGGCTTGGGCCCTGACCGGAATTGAACTGGCGACCTCTTGGTGCATGGGTGGAGGCTCAACCACTGAGCCACACAGGGCTAATTCACTGGTCTTTAAACAAATACTTGAAATACCTCTTGCTTGCTGAAGGTTCAGATTTAAGAAGACTCTAGGTTGGGAACTGATTGAGTCTAACTTTTTTTCTTTTTAAGAATGAGATTGCGCCCTGGCCAGTTTGGCTCAGTGATTAGAGCATCGGCCCACAGACCAAAGAGTCTTGGGTTCGATTCCTGTCAAGGGCATGCACCTCTGTTGCAGTTTGGTCCCTGGCCCTAGTCAGGGTCGTGTGGAAGGCAACCATTCAGTGTGTCGATGTGTCTCTCTCACATTGATATTTCTCTCTCTCCCTTTCTCTCTCCCCCTCCCAACTCTATCTGAAGATAAACAGAACAATATCCTCCAGTCCTGTGGCTTCAAGTTATATCTCTGGTTGGCTGTGTTCCAGAGCCTCATGTCTTACGGTCTCTCTATAGATGTCTGAAAGGCATCTCATTCTAAAGAACTGCTTCTGGGCTCTCTTCTCCCAGAATTCACCCTCACATTCCACTGGTCCTCACAGCAGGAGCAACTGTCCTCCTGTCCCCCCGCCACTTCCCCCTGAGCCGCCAGAGAGGCCCAGCCTGGGGTCATGTCATGGCCCTGCTCATGGCCGCCCTGTGGCTTACACCTAGAGGAAACCCTAACTCTGTCCTGGCTCCTAGAATCCTTGCCACCTGGATCTTGCCCACATGCCACCCTCCCTCACTCTCCATGCCCAGGCTCACCGCCTTCTGTCTAGTCTCCGAGCATCAGGCCTTTTTTGCTGACAGGTTTTTCTCTGGTTTTCCTCCAGCCCTGTCTGGAACCTTCTTTCCTTCAGCTCTCCACTTGGCCAAGTCCTTGTCCTTCACACCTCAGCTCAAATGCCAGCTCCCTGAGAAGCCACCTTTGCTATCTGCCCCCCGCAGCCTTCCCAGCCTCGCCAGCTTTCCTTTCTCTTCCACACCTCTGCTGCACTTAGCAGTGTGCTGGCTAAGTTGGCCACTGTTGGCTCTAGGATTCCACAAGGTCCTCAGTGTTGATGAGATGTAGAAACTTCACTTGTTTATGTCAATTAACCTGTGATAAAATTGGTTTCCTGATACGTAATTTGTTTAAAGTTGTTACATGATTCTTATAGCTGTCCATATCTTCCAAAAGGGCACTCCTGAGTCCTTACCAAATAGTGTCACCTGAAGTCCTAGGGCAGGCTCTTACTGGGTCATGTGGCCCCTCTGAACCAGTCACTGTGGTTGGGGGAGGGACCCGGTGCTCTGATTGGCTAGTGAGTTCATGTTTTCCTTCCCCGCTCAGTGAAGCATAGGAGGGTTGAGGGGGCATCTCTAGCCACACCACACCGATTGGGTTCCTCCTAAGAAAGATGAGGTAGTTACACAAGGAAAGGGACAGACTTTGAGCAGACAGAATTAATTGAGGTCCATCAGCCTGAGGATGAACAGCCTGTGGAAGGTGAGTTGTTCAGCAGATGCGGGGAGTCAGCTGGCTGGTGACAATGGGGTTTTGATCCTCTCCAGAAAAGTTGCCAGACGACCGGCATTGCCACTGCCGAAGCGTCTGTCCAGACCCGGAGGCATGCAGATGCGGAGGTACAGACTGAGGCCCCTGTGCCCGTGGGCGTGCTGCCTGTGTCCCGGCCAGGCAGCCCCCGGCTCGCAGCCTTTCTTCGGAGAGTGGAGGCCATGGTTATCCGAGAGCTGAACAAGAATTGGCAGAGCCACGCATTTGATGGCTTCGAGGTGAACTGGACCGAGCAGCAGCAGACGGTAGGGAATGGGCGGGCCTGGGCTGCCCCCCTCCTCGGCCTCAGGTCAAGCTCTACCCCATGTTAAGTCCATCTTTTGTACTGCCCAAGTAATAACACCAATCATGGTAACAGCTTTCACCGAGCCCTTACTCTGCCAGGTGCTGAGAGCTGTTCGTAAGAATAATTCAATGGACCTTCTCTGCTGTTCTGGAAGTAGGTGCCATTGTTACCTCCATTTTATAGTTGGGGAAATGGAAATTCAGAGTTGCAGTAACTGGTCCAGAATAGCACTGAACTAGTAAGCAGCTAGTGAACTCCAAGTAAGAGTTTAAACCTGGGCAGTCTGACTACATCTTATTCTCTCCACCACTTGGCTGTATCTCCCCAGGCAAGATGTGGTGAGGGCTTTCTCTGTGCCATCTCATTTACTCCTCAGGACAACTGAGTGCTGTTATTATCTCCATTTTATAGAAAAGGCTCAGAGGGGCTGTGACTTGTCCAAGGTCGCACAGCTCTATCTGGCCACGCTGGAATTTGAGCCCTGGTCTGTCTGGTTTCAGTACTGTGCTCTAGTGCCTTCAGCGTCTCCAAGACTTTCTAGAAGTTCTTCAGGCACAGCTCAGAGCTGTCCCCTGTAAACTCAAATGTCCAGTTAGACAGACAGCCTGGGCTTTGAGATCAGGGGACCTCCGCATGAATGAGGGGCTCTTGGTTTTGCTCTACAGTGGGCTAGACCTCACTCTCCCCAGCTTGTTGCCGGTGTGCAGAGCCATTTGTGTTCTGGTTCATACTTTTTTGTTGTTGTTGTTCAGATAGAGTGGGAGGGGGAGAGAGGAAGAGGAAGAGGAATAGAAACATGGATGAGAGAGAACATCGATTGACCGCCTCCTGCACGCCCCCCCACTGGGGATTGGGCCCACAACCTGGGCATGTGCCCTGACCAGGAATTGAACCGGTGAACTCTTGGTGCATGGGTCAACACTCAACCACTGAGCCATACCGGCCGGGTTAGTTGATTCTTTTTTTTAAAAAATATTTATTTATTTATTTATTTATTTATTTATTTATTTTAATCCTCACCCGAGGACATTTTTCCATTTTTTGTTCAGATAGAGCGGGAGGGAGAGAGAGGTAGAGAGAGAGAGAGAAACATCGATGTGAAGGGACACATCGAGTGGCTGCCACCCCCACGACCAACCAGGGCCGGGGACAAACTGCATCCGAGGTACGTGCCCTTAGCGGGAACCGAACCCGGGTCTCTCTGGACCACAGGCCGATGCTCCAACCGCTGAGCCAAACCGGCCAGGGCAGTTGATTCTTTTTTTAAAAATTATTTTTATTAATTTATTTTTGTTACAGATGTTCCTCTTTTTCCCTCCATTTGACACCCTCCTCCCAGTCTCCACCCCATCTTTTTTTTTTTTTAACGCTCACCAATTGCTTCATTCTTTTATTTCTTTTTAATTCTCCAGGATATTTTTCTATTTATTTTCAGACAGAGTGGAAGAGAGGGAGGGAGGGAGGGAGAGAGAGAAATATCGATGTGAAAGAGACATATTGACTGGTTGCCTCTCTCACAACCCTGACCAGGGCCAGGACTGAATTGCAACCAAGGTATGTGCCCTTGGTCGGAATCCAACCCGCAGCTGTTTGGTTCGTGGCGATTTGAGATCCAAACCATCCAGGGTGATTTTTAATGTAAACTTTTATTGAATATAACATAAAAAATGCATAAATTACAAGTGTTCAGGTCCATGACTTTTCACAAAGTGAAAACATTTGTGGAACCAGAACCTAGATCAAGAAATTGAATTTTACCCCAAATATTTTCTTACGCCCCTTCTACTTCCTACACCATTGTGGACTTTGTTTTATGTATTTATTTACTTTTTAAATATATTTTTATTGATTTTTAAATTTTATTTTATTATTTTTTTATCCTTACCCAAGGACATTTTTCCATTTTTTGTTCAGATAGAGTGGGAGGGAGGGAGAGGAACAGAGAGAGAGAGAGAGAGAGAGAAACATCAACGTGAAAGGGACACATCCAGTGGTCGCCACCCGCATGACCAACCAGGGCCGGGGACAAACTGCAACCGAGGTACGTGCCCTTAGCGGGAACCGAACCCAGGATTCTCTGGACGGCAGGCTGACCCTCTAACCGCTGAACCAAACCAGCCAGGGCTTTATTGATTTTTTTAGAGAGACAGGAAATGAGAGAGAGAAACACTGATGTGAGAAACATCTATCGGCCGCCTCCTGCACGCCCCCTGTTGGGGATGGAACCCACAACCTGGGCATGCGCCCTGACTGGGAATGGAACCAGGAGCTCTCAGTCCATGGGATGATGCTCAAGCCTCTGAGCCACACCGGCTGGGTTGTGTAGCTTTGTTTTGTTTTGTTTTATTTATTTATTTATTTATTTTATTTTATTTTTTATCCTCACCCAAGGACATTTTTTGATATTTTGTTCAGACAGAGTGGGAGGAAGAGAGAAAGAGAAACATCGACATGAAAGGGACACATAAAGTGGTTGCCACCCACACGACCCCAACCGGGACCAGGACAAACTGCAACTGAGATATGTGCCCTTAGCGGGAACCAAACCCGGGTCTTTCCGGACCGCAGGCCGATGCTCTAACTGCTGAGCCAAACCGGCCAGGGCGTGTAGCTTTGTTTTAAAATAACAGGTTTATGCCCTGGCCACTTTGGCTCAGCGGTTAGAGCATCGTCCCACCGACTGGAGGGTCCTGGGTTTGGTTCCCGGTAAGGGCACGTACCTTGGTTGTGGTTTGTCCTGGCCCTGGTTGGGGTCATGTGGGTGGCGACCAGTTGATGTGTCTCTTTCACATCCATGTTTCTCTCTCTCTCCCTCCCACTCTATCTGAAAATAAATGCAAAAAAATAGTAATAATAACAGATTTATTAAGCCCTGGCCAGTGTGGCTTACATGGTTGGAGTGTCATCCTGTGCACCAAAAGGTCTTGGGTTTGATTCCTTGTCAGGGCACATACTGGATTGGTGTTTCACTTGCACATTGATTTTTTTTTTTATCTCTCTCTCCCTTTACCTTCATGTCTTTATAAAATCAATAAAGTCATGTCCTTGGGTAAGGATTAAAAAAATAATAATAGCCCTGGCCGATTTTGCTCAGTGGTTAGAGCGTTGGCCTGCGGTCCTGAGAGACCCAGGTTCGGTTCCCGCTAAGGGCACGTACCTCGGTTGCAGTTTGTCCCCGGCCCTGGTTGGTCATGCGGGTGGCAGCCACTCGATGTGTCCCTTCACGTCGATGTTTCTCTCTCTCTGTTCCTCTCTCTCCCTCCCACTCTACCTGAACAAAAAAATGGAAAAATGTCCTCAGGTGAGGATAAAAAAAATAAATAAAATAAAATAATAATAATAAAAAATAACATTTAAAACATATCTTTTATTGTTGGAAGTATTACAGCTGTCCCACTTTTTTCCCCCATTGACCTCCACTCCACTCCCACCCCCATGACAGATTTATTGAGATATAATTAATTTCCATATAATTCATCCTTTTAAAATGTACAGTTTAGCCCAGCCGGTGTGGCTCAGTGTTGGGCGTCAACCCAGGCACGAAGAGGTCACCGGTTCAATTCCCGCTCAGGGCACATGCCCAGATTGTGGGCCCGATCCCCAGTGGGGGGCATGCAGGAGGCGGCCAGCTGATGTTCTCTAATCGATGTCTCTATCTCTCCCTCTCTAAAATAAACAAAGGAAAAAAAAATGTACCGTTTAGTGGGTTTTAATATATTCCCAGAATTGTGCAACCATTGCCACAATTTTAAAACCATTTCATCACCCCCAAAAGAAACCCCGTCCCCCCTAAGCAGTCATCTTTATTTCTGCCCAACCACTGACGAGTACAAATCTATTTTTTGTGTCTGTCAATTTGTCTGTTTGGAACATTTTATATAAATGGAATCATATAAGAAGTGGTCTTGCATAGTGATGATGGGGCAGGCGGGAGTGGGGAGGAGGGGGTCATTGGGGAAAATAAAAGGAAGGCCATCTTTATTTAATAAATAAAGATAAATAAAAAAGAAAAAGAAGCAACTGCTATGATTGGCTTCTGCCAACTGAGCAGCACCCACATGACCCCAACTGGGACGGGGACAAACTGCAAACGAGGTATGTGCCCTTAGCGGGAACCGAACCCGGGACTCTCTGGACCGCGGGCTGACACTCGAACCGCGGAGCCAAACCAGCCAGGGCGAGCAGAATGTTGTCTAGGTTCATCGTGGTGTAGCATCTGTTGATGCTTCATTCCTCATTTGGCTGCATAACACTCCACTGTAGGGATAGAGCACCTTTGTCCGGCAGCTGATGGACGTTTTGGCCATTATGAATAATGCCGTGAACATCGGTGTGCAGGCTTTTGTGTAAACATCTGTTTTCAGTTCTCCGGGTAGGTACCCCAGACTGGAACTGCTCTGACTCCGTGTGCGACATTCTGAGGAACTGCCAGCCCTGATCTGCAGCAACTGCCCCATTCTGCATTCTGGCGGTGTGCAAGTGTTCCCTCCGTCTGGCTGGTTCAGATCTTGGATTCTTCCCACGGGATAGTTTTTTGTTCTTTTCTAAAACATGCTTTTCTTTATTTTATTTTTATTTATTCTTTGTTAATCCTCACCCAAGGATTTTTTCCCATTGATTTTTAGAGAGAGTGGAAGAGTGGCAGGGGAGAGAGAGAGAAACAGAAACATCGATGTAAGACAGACACATTGATTGTTTGCCTCTGGCACATGCCCCGACTGGGTCTGGGGATCGAACCTGTAACCCAGGTATGTACCCCTGACCAGGAATAGAACCCCCAACCCTTCAGTGCATGGGGCCAATGCTCTAACTGCTGAGCCACACAGGCCAGGGCATGTTTTTATTGATTTTATTGTTTTCTTTATTGATTTTTAGAGAGAGAGAGGAAGAGAAATAGAAACATCGATGAGAGAGAACATCGATTGGCTGCCTCCTGCATGCCCCCCACTGGGGATCAGGCCCACAATCTGGGCATGTGCCCTGACCTGGAATCGAACCGGTGACCTCTTGGTGCCTGGGTCGATGCTGAACCACTGAGGCACACCGGCTAGGCTGTTTTATTTATTATTATTATTTTTATTGTTGAAAGTATTCTAGATGACCTTTTTTCCCCCCATTGACCCCCTCTCCTTCCTGTTCCCACCCCTCTCCTACATTCCCCAGCCTAGTGTTCAGTGTTGATTGGTTGTGCATATATGCATATAAGTTCTTTGGTTTATCTGTTCCCACCCCTGCCAGCCCCCATCCCTCTGAGGCTTGTCAGTCTGCTCCCTACTTCCATGACTCTGGATCTCTTTTGGTTGGCAGCTTATTTTGTTCATTATGTTCCACAAATAAGTGAGATCATGTGGTACTTGTCTTTCTCTGACTGGCTTATTTCGTTTAGCATAATACTCTCCAGATTCCTCTATGTTGTCTCAAAGAGTAAGAAATGTTTTTTCTTATAGCTGCGTAGGATTCCACTGTGTAAATGTATTACAGCTTTTTTATCCACTCATCTACTGATGGGCACTTGGGCTGATTCCAGATCTTAGCTATTGTAAATAGTGCTGATATGAACATAGGGGTGCATATATTCTTTCTGATTGGTGTTTCAGGCTTCTTAGGGTGTATTCCTAGAAGTGGGATCACTGGGTCAAATGGGAGTTCCATTTTTAATCTTTTGAGGAAACACTGTATTGTTTTCCATAGTGGCTGCACCAATCTGCATTCCCACCAGCAGTGTGCTAGAGTCTCCTTTTCTCTACACCCTCGCCAGCATTTGTTGTTGGTGGATTTGTTGATGGCCTTCATTCTGGCAGGTGTGAGGTGATATCTCATAGTCATTCTAATTTGCATCTCTCTGATGATTAGAGATGTCGAACATTTTTCCCTGTGTCTCCTGGCCATTTGTATGTCCTGTTTGGAGAAGTATCTATTCAGGTCCTCTGCCCATTTTTAAATTGGATTGTTTTCCTTTTGTTGAGTTGTATGAGTCCTCTATATATTGTTTTTATTGATTGTAGAGAGGAAGGAAGAGAGAAACATCTATTGACTGCCTCCTGCACTCCCGCTATTGGGGAATCAAGCCTGAAACTCGGGCATGTGCCCTGACCGGGAATCGAACTGGAGACCTCTCAGTGCATGGGACGATGCTCAGCCAACTGAAGCACACAGGCCAGGGCACCCCTGGATAGGCTCTTTATGTGGGGTTATGAGATCAAGAACTAGGAAACCTCTGTGAAGACACCTGGGAAGTCTGCTGTGCCCTCCCTCACTGGGGCCAGCATGGCCGGCCTTCTGCGTTACTCGCCTGCTGTGGGCTGAGGGACAAGGTGCCAGAACTTAAAAAACCTGTATGTTCAAAAAGTGTGTTAGCATTTTAACCGTTTTTAGGTGTACAGTCCTGTGGCGTTGAGCACGTTCACATTGTGCAACCATGTCCCCCATCCAGCTCCAGAAGCCTGAGTTTTTGAAATAGTGTGTAGAGCAAATGTGAGAACAGGGCCCAGCTCTGTTCTGGGGCCTGGCATCTGTCTTGGTTCGCAAGGCCCTCCCTTCCTTCGGGTTTCTGGAACCATTTCCTTATAGTTCCAGGAAAAGGGTCCACATTTTCCTCCACGTCCACGTAAAGGACTCGGCTAGCTCTCAAGGCTCCGGGAGGCGGAAGCCTGTGTGTGGTTTTGTTAGGTGGTGTCAAGGCCACCTGCTGGGTGGCTTTTGGCCTCAGGGTTGGGGATGGTTTGTCTCTTGCAGGTGGCCTGTCTACACACCCTGGGCTACCCCCCAGCCCAAGGGCAGGGACTGCATGTGACCAGTGTCTCCTGGAACAGCACAGGCTCTGTGGTGGCCTGTGCCTATGGCCGGTGAGTGGCAGCAGGGGCGGGTCTGGGGCATTGGGAGGCCCGTGTCTGAATCTCTGTCTCCTTGTCTGCACAGGGTTGGCCTGGGAAGGGTTCGCCCAGAATCTGGTCATCTTCTCAAGGCTGCCCGGGCAGCGGGGTGGCAGGGGAGGGAAGGATTTAGAGCCAGGACTCATGGCGCCCACTGGCCAGTACTGGGCAGTGAGCCCTGGGCCTGCCTCGCCTTCTCCATGAGCTGTTTCCTGATGTGTGAGGGTTCCCCTACCCCACCATTCTGAGGACCCATCTTTGGTTACCGGGGACCATTTTTCAGAGAAAGACAATCCCTTGCGGTGCCATGGAGGAGCCCGTGCCACTTTGATACTAAGTACAGTGTGATGGGGACACAGGCCAATTTGTGGGTAGCCAGGGAAGAGGCGGGGATGGGTGGGTTGGGATGAAGCCCCTGGCCTTGGGGCAGAACAGCTCAGGCATGTGTGTGTGCAGGCTGGATGATGGGGACTGGAGCACGCTGAAGTCCTTTGTGTGTGCCTGGAACCTGGACCGGCGAGGCCTGAATCCCCGGCAGCCGGCAGCGGTGGTGGAGGTGCCCAGCGCTGTCATGTGCCTGGCCTTCCACCCCACGCAGCCATCCCAGATCGCAGGTGAGCTGCTCGGCCTGCCTCACGTCTGCTTGCCACCCTGCAGAGGGTGGCTAAAGGGGCCTTCTCTATTGGGCTCTCAGTCCCTGGGCATGGCCAGGGCAGAGCTGCCTGGAGGCAGAGACCACAGGTGACCCTGTGCTCAGGTGAGGATGCTGAGTGGGCCTATGCTGGGCGTGGAACTCGGAGGCAGAGTAGGCAGGTCTTTAGCCGAGTCTGGAGAGGGTGTGGGCCATGCAGAGGTGCAGCCTGGTCAGGGAAGAGCAGGCCCCTTGGGGAGCTGTCTTTGGTGATAGGAGCCAGTCTGGGAAAGGGTCATGCTGGAGGGACTCGCAGTGCTGGGCAGGGGGGATCAGCCTGGCAGCAGCAGGAGCTTCCTGGGTGAGGCACAGCAGGACAGAGTGAGGCCTGCCTGGGGGATCGGGACTTCTCCTCCTTGGGATGGTGTTTGGGGAAGTGGTTCCACGTCCTGGCTCAGTGGGTGGGAGGGCAGGTGCTTGGCCAGGAGGCTGGGCTGCTGGGCACGGGTCAGCTCCTGCCCAGGCCTGCTTGGTCCCGCAGGTGGGCTCTACAGTGGCGAGGTGCTGGTGTGGGACATGAGCCGTCCTGAGGACCCATTGCTCTGGCGTACAGGCCTGACGGATGACACACACACAGACCCCGTGTACCAGGTCAGAGCAGTGTGTTTTGGATGGGTCACAGAGGCACCTTCCTCTTCTCTCCGGCCTGGGCCTTGCTGTCGTGGGCCTGCTTCTTGAGATATAGCAGGAGAGAGGGTGCCCACTTGGCACAGCCATGGAGGAAGGTCACCAGGGAGTTGGCAGTTAGACAGCTGCCTTCAGCATTCTTGGAGCTCCCAGGGCATGAGTCACACCCCTGCCCCCAGCAGAAGCCACCCCCAGCCTCCTCGAGCTGTCCTGGCTTTGCTGGGACTAGGGGTGGGGCTCGGAACCCTCCAGGCCTGCCCACGGTGGGTGAGGTGACTCCCAGGTCCTGGCCTCAGAATTCTCCATTTTTTTCTTTATTGGAAAAGGGGAGGATGACATTTGGTCTTGCTGGGAGGTGGGGGGAGGCCAGGGGGTAGGCATCCCTTTCTTACACCCTGTTGTCCCAGGTGGTGTGGCTGCCTGAGCCCCGCCACAGCCACCACTTCCGGGTGCTGAGTGTGGCCACCGACGGGAAGGTGCTGCTCTGGCAGGGGGCCGGGCCGGGCCAGCTGCAGCTCACGGAGGGCTTCGCGCTGGTCGTGCAGCAGCTGCCTCGCAACACCAAGCTGAAGAAGGTGCGTGGGGCCGCCCGGAGGCAGCTCCTGCCTGTGGGACCTCCCGGGCTGGTGAAGCTTGGGGGCAGGTGGAGGAGGGTGGGCGCTGCCCCAGCTGAGCCAGGACTTGCTGCATAACCTTCTCAGGCCAGTGTCCACTTACATGGCTGGGCTCCTTGGGACACTAACCAGCTTCCCTCAGCCCCACCCTGCTGTCCGTTTCTCCGTAGCCTCAGCGGGGGGAGACTGAGGTGGGAACCACGGCGGTGGCCTTCTCCAGCTTTGACCCCAGCCTCTTCATTCTGGGCACGGAAGGCGGCTTCCCGCTCAAGTGTTCCCTGGCGGCGGAAGAGGCTGCTCTCAAGCGGATGCCTAGCTCGGTGCCCCTGCGGGCCCCGGCACAGTTCATCTTTTCTCCCCATGGTGGCCCCATCTACTCTGTGAGCTGTTCCCCCTTCCACAGGTAGGGAAGGCCTGCCCTGGGGTCATCCTCCATCCGCCACAGGGCCTTTGGCACAGGAAGGGGGACGGAGTCCCGCCAGGCCCTACCATATAACTGCTTAAGGGATCTGCAGTCTGGCCCGGCCGGTGTGGCTCACTGGTTGAGCATTGACCCATGCACCAAGAGGTTGCAGGTTCGATTCCCGGTCAGGGCACATGCCCAGGTTGTGGGCCCAATCCCCAGTAGGGGGCATGCAGGAGGCGGCCAGTTGATGTTCTCTCTCATTGATGTCTGTCTCTCTAAAAATCAGTAAAGAAAAAATATTAAGAAAAAAAAAAAAAAGAACCAGGTCCTCCCCATTTAAGCTTTGGTACCCAGAACTGTGGTAGTCAGCCCTCTCTACTGAGCACCCGGGTTTGGAGGTCCAGGGAGGCTTTTCAGGACCCGGAGAGCCCAGAAGTCTGGTAGGAAGGCCCTGGCCTTACCTAGACACCCAGCACTCACTTGCCTTTCTGCCCTGCATCCCATCCAGGAATCTCTTCCTGAGCGCAGGGACTGATGGGCATGTCCACCTGTACTCCATGCTGCAGGCCCAGCCCCTGACCTCCCTGCAGCTGTCCCACAAGTACCTGTTTGCTGTGCGCTGGTCCCCAGTGCGTCCCTTGGTGTTTGCAGCAGCTTCTGGTGAAGGTAGGAATTGGGACACTAGGCTTGGATCCATTTAAGTGACGTGGGCCTGTCTTGGAGTTCTGGGTTGGGGTAGACTGCATGTGGGGTGTTGCCCTCCCTTATGCGGGAAGGAGAGCTGAACTGGGCAATATTCTTATTTTGAGCTGTGGCCTCTGGAGTTTGTAGGTGCACAGCGAACTTCGAAGAGGCTCAGGGCTTCTCTTACTCCACAAATCTCTCTCCATGAAGGTGAGGTGCAGCTGTTTGATCTCCAGAAAAGCTCCCAGAAACCCACAGTTTCAATCAAGCAAACCCAGGATGAAAGCCCTGTCTACTGTCTTGAATTTAATCGCCATCAGACTCAGCTGTTGGCTGCTGGCGATGCCAAGGGCACAGTGAAGGTGTGGCTGCTGAGCACTGAGTTCACTGAACAAGGGCCCCGGGAAGCAGAGGACTTGGAGCAGCTGGCAGCAGAGGTGGCCATTTGAGGACGACAAAGCTGTGGCCAGGGGTGTCCCTAAATATACAGAGGCAGATGGGGTGAAGCTACATCTGTGCTGAACTGTGTATTTCTGACGGAAGCTGAATGAAGGAAGACAAGTTTTTTGGGGAGAGAAGTCATTTATTTGTCTTTTACATGGAAATAAAACGGTGGGGGTGGTGGGTAGGGAGAACAAGAAGGAAGCTAGCCAGCTGCTTAGATTTTTCTGAAGTCGGAATGGGGCAGCTGGCTTCAATACAGGAATCTGGGTCCCCTCTGCAACATGGCAATTGCGACTGGACCAGAAGCAGTTTATTGAAGCACCGTTTTCTACTAAGTTTTATCCCAAGCTAAGCAGATTTAAGGTTACATTGGAAAAGAACTGTCTGGAATATTTTTCTTGAGAGCACAGAGATGAGTGGACATGCAGCAAGGCAGCAGCAGGGCAAGCAGCACGGGCCAGGCTAACCTAGGAGCAGAGGGTCAGTTCACGAAGAGCGAGCGGGTGAACTCGACGTAGTCAAAAGCCGTGGGGAGTTCGCGGCCCTTGCCATCCACATAGGGCTTCATGTGGGAGACGCAGTAGTCAGCTTGCTCCCGAGTCAGGTTCTGGAGAGGAAGACGGCGCCGTTAGCCACCCTGAGGCGGGGGGTCGGACAACCTCAAAAATAATGCCCAAGCTGCAGGGAGATCTCTGTGCCTAGAGTCAAAAGCCAGTTCTATAAACTGATACTGGAGTTTGGCCTGGACTAGGATTCATTTGTAAGGGACAAAACACCTACACCCCACAGGGGAAAGGCTCCAAGGTGGGGTCTGGCACTGTAGACTCAGCTCTGCCCCTAATGCAGGGGCAGCCTTTGGCTTGACTTTTTTCCCCTTAATATGTTTTATTGATTTCTTTTTTTTTTTTTATCCTCACCCGAGGACATTTTCCCATTTTTTGTTCAGGTAGAGTGGGAGGGAGAGAGAGGAACAGAGAGAGAGAGAGAGAGAGAAACATCGATGTGAAAGGGACACATCGAGTGGCTGCCACCTGCACGACCGACCAGGGCTGGGGATAAACTGCAACTGAGGTACGTGCCCCTAGTGGGAACCAAACCCGGGTCTCTCAGGACCGCAGGCCAACGCTCTAACCGCTGAGCCAAACCGGCCAGGGCTGTTTTATGGATTTCTTTAGAGAGAGAGAGGAAGGGAGAGAAAGACATCAACTGGCTGCCTCCTGCACGCCCCCTACTGGGCATCAAGCAGGCAACCCAGGCATGTGCCCCTGGGAATGGAGCAGGGACCTCTCAGTCCATGGGATGACTCAATTCACTGAGCCACACCAGCCAGGACGGCTTTCTTTTTGAAAGGAATCCTCAGCCCCCCGCCCCAGGATGGGGGTGGGAGCAGAGTCCCAGACCTGGTACAGCTCCTCCTTGGTCACGTAAGGCTTTCCCTCGGAGCTCAGGGCCCGGAAGGCGCTCTCGATCTCTTCGCTGGACTTGACGTTCTCTGTCTCACGGCTGATCATGAAAGCCATGTACTCTTGCAGGGAGACATGGCCATCCCTGGGGAGGGGCGAGTGCAGTGAGCAGGAGAGGGCAGTAGGTGCCCGGGGCAGAGCCGCTTCCACTACCTTCTCAGGCTCACCTGTTTGGATCCACAGTGTCCAGAATCGCCTCGAACTCGGGGTCGGGCTCCCCTTCCTCCACCATGGGCAGATCGTAGCCCAGGGAGCGCAGGCAGGATTTGAACTCCTGGTGGTTCAGGCGGCCAGATTTGTCCTTGTCGAAGTGTCTGCAGTACAAAGCGAAGGATAGCTCAGCACACAGCCCCGCTGAGACCGTCCCTGCCCTGCCCACCGCCAGGGAGGGTGCAGGTGTACTCACTTAAACATCATGCTGAACTCTTTGAGAGCCTCCTCGGTCACCCCTGTCGTGTTCCTGGAAGAACAGAATTAGGCACTGAGTCCTTCACCCACACGTCAGTAACCTGACTGCTGGATGCCGAGGGACCTGTGGTCGGGCGGTTGAGACTGTTCTTCCCACAGCCCTTGGTGCAGGTACCTGGCCTGGATCTGCTGCTCCAGGTTATGCTGCATGCGCATGCCCAGCTGGTCGAGCTGGTCCCACTGCTGGGCCAGGCCCACTGTGCTGTGTTCCGTGTACTTGTTGTCCAGGATCAGGGCTTCCTCCATGGCTGCCCCCAGGTCCTCAATCTTCTTCAGCTGACTTCTCATAGCTCGAATCTCCTGGTGCTTGCGCTGCAGGGGTGTGGGAAGCAATGATATATGGGTAGGAGCTCTCACCCTGGTCACCAGGCCCAAGAGCCCGGTTAACGGCCCTGGCCCACCCGGCCTGACACCAGCAGGGCCATCTGCAATGGGAACGGTGGAGTGGGATGAAGTGCAGAATCCAACAGTCTCAGCAGAGGGAAAGTCTTCCTTGTGAGCAACACACAGCAGTGGGCAGACCTGCCTAGAAACCTACGTGCCAAGGACCAGAGGAGCCTTTTTCCAAGCAGGGCTCTAGGTAGCAATTGTCAAAGACAAAGACTTCCTTTAAAATGATGGGGACCCTGCTTTAACCAAGGAAAAAAGGGGCGGGCACCCAACCAGCCCACCTAGTACCTGACGGAACCACCCTGGGCCTGCTGGGGTGGATGGGTGAAGGGTCTTAGCTGGGCCAGAAGCCATCAGGACACTTACCTTGGTAGCTTCAAGCTGGGATTCAAGAGTCCCGGATTCTTCCACCATGCAGGACCTAAACACGGAAGCACAGTGAGGCAAGAGGGACCTGAGCAAGCTTGAAACGAGCTATCTTTAGATAACACCGTGCCTGCAGTTTGCGGTTCCTCTCATTAAGGAAACAGCCTATGTGCTATTGGCTATCTTTTCCTAAGCGGCCCTGGGAGCAGGCAGGTAACACTTTCCCTGTTTCCAGGAGGAGACGCTGCAGCTCGATGCAGCCGCCACCTGCCCGAGGCCAGCTGCTGGGCCAGGGCTCAGCCCCACCCACCCTGTTCCAGGCTGGGGCCCTTCTCACATGGCTTCCCAGGCCCAGCCAGGCTGTGACATGGTGACAGACCCAAGCTAGGTCCTTGAGGGCTGCCTCAGAAACTGACTATAGGGAGCAGGCCTGGCAGCGCAGCCCTGTGCTGCCAGGGAGAGCTGCCCCTACAGTGCTGCCACTGACGGACGGGAGACCCGGCAGGAGGCTGACACGCTGAGAGCCGCCTCCAGAAACCCTGCAGATTCCTGAGGGGAGCCACGTTCTAGGGGGCGACACAGTTAGATGACCCCTCAGACACGGAAATGGGGTGCTGAGGAGTCATGAGTAGACATAGGTTTTAACATGGTTCTAATTCTGCCCAAAGGAGGGAGGTGGCTGTTTCTAAGCCTCAGATCAGGTTCCAGGACCTAGAGACAGCGCCAGAGGCTCCTTCCAGGGCCCGGTTCTGAAGAGCAGGGGACTGGGGAGCATTTTCCCAATAACACAGTGCAAGGTCACAGAAACTACCAGTGAACGAAGACGACAATCAGGTTGGGGTCACGTGCAGGGACAAGTCACACTGTGTGCATGTCCTTGGTGGGATTTTAGCCCAGCCTTCCCTGTACCCACAATTGCCCCAACCTACCCTTTTAACACCCAGTGAGCCAGGGTTAGCTCTGAAATCTCCCCAAGGTCAAAGTGTCTAGCAAGGCAGGCACCAGGCTTCCTCCTACCCCAGCAGATCAGTCTCAGTCACTCCGTGTCCCCTGGGGCAAAGCGCACCCGCAAGACCTGGGGGTGGGAGGCTGGGTGCCGGTGCAGGGGGAGGAGGACAGAGCCCTCTGTCCCAAGCGGCCAAGGGCAGTGGGTTAGTCAGAAAGCAGAGCCGCCTCGGGAAGTCAATAGTGCATTGGTAAAACCACAGTGAGGTAAGAAGAGAAATAAGAGGAGAAAAACCTTCCAGACAGATCATCCCCAACTTCATATTGATAGACACGAATGACCCGACGATATGCTATGCTATTCAAAGAAAAGAAACCAAGTGAATACACCAAAGGAAGGGGGAGGCAAGAGCATACCGAGACAGACACACACCACAGGCCCAAGCTGGCAGTGCACGGGCAGGGCCACCTGGCGCCCAGGCAGGGACCTGGTGGAGGGAGAGCTGAGGGCTGGCCTGGGAGGACAGGCAGCCTCTGGGCAGTGCACACTGGGGCCGGGCAAGACTGGACAGAACTGGGAGGAGCCACACGGTAAGGGGAGCGGAGCACCTGACGGAGGCAAGACCAAGACCAGCAGACACAGCCACGGGGGCCTGGGAGGAGAGCAGACATCAGATGGCTTACAAGCTCAAGCTAGAAACTGGTCCCTAAATCCTGACCCATTCTGCCTTCAGCACGCGGGGACAGATCCGTGTGGGCATAGCTCTCCCATTTCTCGACTTACCTGCTGCAGAGCCTTGGGACTGCTAGTCTAAAACACTGTGGCCCCACCAACCCTGGCCTCGACTGGCCTGGGAGAGAACGCAAAGGTGACCGACCCAGCCAGAAGCCTAGGCCTGAGGGCGTGCCTCCGACAGGGACGGGGCAGCCCTGCTCCTCTTGGGACTCCTCCCAAACCCCGTCTCTGTCACTCAGAAACACTGGCCCGGCTGGTGTGGCTCAGTGGCTGGGTGTTGACTCATGCACCAAGAGGTCACTGGTTGGTTCGAATCCCGGTCAGGGCACATGCCCAGGTTGTGGGCCCGATCCCCAGTGGGGGGCATGCAGGAGGTGGCCAATCGATGTTCTCTCTTGTAGATGTTTCTCTCTCTCCCTATCCCTTCCTCTCTAAAAATCAATAAAGAAAAAACAAACAACAAAAAAACACTGGGCATTTCTGCCTTCTGTTAGGGTAAATGACAGCTGTCCCCCAACCCTGGAAAACGGGTTGCTGGGGGAGGGGGGAGTGCACCGCTGGGGACTTACTGAACCAGCCTGAGCCCCTGAACACTGTCGTCCTGCTTTATGCCCACAGCCTTGCTAAGGACTGGAGGCCCGGGGAGCACGCAGGGAGAGGCAGAGGGGCGCCAGGGCCGTCCTGTGGCGAACCAGCATGGGGTTCCCGGAGGCTCTGGCCTTCGGGCTTCATCACATTCCTCACCCCAGA